TCCCGCCTTGGGCCAAAGGCAGGCGCCAAACCACTGTGCAACCCAGGGATCCCCTATATTGGTGTTTTAAAACTGGATGTAAAGATGAGAATTCAAGAGCTGAAATCAAAATGTTAGGTCTTCAAATTTAAAAATCCTTGACTTTCTACAGATGGTAAATGAGATATAGAGCAAGGTACTGTTGGCGATAGAGAGGACTCATTCTCCCTAACTCTGTTCTGTAAACATTTCCATCAGAATGACAAAGCCTTAAAGACAATACAGACATTAATGAGAATTAACATACATAACATATTAAATGAAATAAGTATAAATATAGAACTAAGAACTTTAATAACACTTTCTCATTATAATTGTGTGAGTGGTACTTATCATCTATACCTCAGATTCCAGGAATTATATCTCTTCTGCTCAACACTACCCACCTGCATGATGATGTAGTTATAAAACACAAAATATGACTTCCAAAAAATACTGGAATACAATGAAAATCTTTGTGGAAGTGCCTTAAAGGCATATCAAGGAGGCAGCTAAATTCCTTAAGGACAAATGCCCTAAAGGTCTTTTCTACCTTTTTTCTTAAGCACTCTCATAATCTCCTCCCTCCAAATGTCTTATTTCTCTTTTTCAACTTCAGGCCAGTTGGCTCTTCCTCCCTCCTACTATTTCTAATCTGAACCAGCATAGTTTTTCTCAGCATTTTACATTTTCTCTTCCAGAATTTTCCTTAGAAGATAGAAGAGGAAAAGCTGTGAAAACACAGGCCTGTATGGAACAAAGTGTAGAATGAATGAAGGCTTAAAAGCATAAATTCCATTCAGCAAAGACATATTCTGGTAGTTTGGCTTGGATGTTTGGAAATGAATTAAAACCCAATGCCTATCCCAGATAAGAACAGAATGCAAAAGTGAAATAAGCAGGAACTCAGGAGATTATTTTATATCACAAAAAACCTGAAATACAGAACTAAAACCTTATTAGTGGAATTTATTATTTTAACTCAGGTTCAGATTCAAGTGATTTTTACAGAGCTCCTTACAGTCTCCTGGCCTCTGTTCTTCAGAGCATTCATCTTTCTCAGATGTTTTACAGAGTCCCCACCTCTTCCTTTAACAGGCACAAAAATGCAAAATTGCTCTTTAATGTTTCAATCGTGATTATTTTTCTTTTCCTTTTGGGTGTGTTACTATAAGTGAACCATTCTAAAGTTCTCCTCATCTATGCTTTTCTTTTTAAATATAATAGCCACAGATTACTTACTATTGCAGCTTTTAGATGCACCTGAAACCCTGCTTCTCTCCTAAGGCTCTACAAAACAAAACAAAACAAAACAAATGCAACATTTTATGTTAAATGACTAAATTGTTACTGAGTTTAGTGCAGAAATTAATTCAGGTTTTAATTTTTTCATTATAACACAACATTTTATGTTAAATGACTAAATTGTTACCGAATTTAGTGCAGAAATTAATTCAGGTTTTAATTTTTCTCATTATAAGTCATTAAAAGTCCCCTCCCTAGAACAATATATTATATCTGGAGACTCCTTTAACAATCTTAACCCAAATTCGAGAAGAAGGAGGGAGAGAGAAGTTTCATAAAGAGATAATTTTAAGATATCACAAAATGACCAGTAGGCAGAGAAATGCTTTTAGGAAAACAAGATCTCTCACCTCATGCACAAAATGTTAGGGCCAGAATTGAAGAGGAAGAGTAGCTCAGCTTCCTAATTACTAGCCCTTGGGCCTTTACAAATGGAGAAAAATGGACTCCCCGAGGTTCCTCACATTTGGTCCTTTGATGGAGTTTAGTTACAGAAACCTGGATGCTTAGTGCATCCTGAATGTTTGTTTTCATTTAATTTTCAGCCAAGACACTGGACATTGATTTCCTCTTGTGTTTTATTTAAAGTGAATTCACAACTGTGGATGGGAAAACCAGAGCCAAAATCTTCGCCCTGAGCATAAACCAAAGTAAAATCAAAGCATTTCTGAGAGTGTGAGTTGTTCTGTTAAATTTGCTTTAAAAAAAAAAATCATCAAGCAATTGCACTGCTGAAATGGATCAGACATGGAGGCAGAAATCAGACGAGAAACTCTCGGTGTGCGAACTTGTGCGGTATAATTTTCACATCAAAGAGCTTCAAAATAGGATTTTTGCAAGTATTTTAACTTTTAGCTAGCTGACTCAAATCCTTTCTAGAAGTAAGCAAGTTATAAATTATAACTACATAAATAAATAAATCTCATGGTAGTATCCAGCTATCACCCGGTTCAAAGTTTGCCTACCCCATTCTCATCCCGTCCTGTGCAGTTAGGGTCAGAGCTCTTCACATCACAGCATTTTTCCTTCACAAAACTGAATAGGTATGTGGAAGAAGGACAGGCATGTGCTTGAAGATTTTGAAAAGGGGACTGAAGGGCTTAGTAACAGTGATAGTTCAGTGTGAGGAGATGGTCAAGTGTGTTGAGGAGATGAGGCCAGAAAATGTAAATTCAGATGAGTTTGAGGAGAGCTTCTGTGCTACTATAAGGACTTTTTCCGGTGCACAATGCCATCCTAGAAGCTGGATAATTTACAGTTGGTTTATAGCTTATTTCTGTTTCGAGTTATCTGTACAAGCTGCCTAATTATTCTGACATCAGTTTATTCATCTATAATGATGGAATTTGGATTAAAGTTCTATGTGTCATGTGTATTTATATATTATAATGTATATAATACATTATATCTATTATGCGCCTACATGTGTGCATACACACACACACATTTTGAAGGAAAAAAATAAGTAAATGCTAATACAACTATAGATTTCAATTCTTAATAATTACTTGGAATGCAAACATCTCTGCAGTGTCTAAGCCTTTTAACTGCATCTTACACCATATGGTACCATTCTATTTACGTAATATGTCCTAAGTTTTCTCTTGTTTAATATTTTATTTATTTATTTATTTGACAGAGGGGAGAGAGAAAGAGTAAGCACACAGCAGGCAGGGGGAGAGGGAGAAGCAGGCTCCCAGCTGAGCAGGAAGCCTGATGTGGGGTTTGATCCCAGGACCCTGGGATCACAACCTGAGCTGAAGGCAGATGTTTAACCGACTGAGCCACTCAGGCACCCCTGTCCTAGGTTTCCTTAATCCCTTGTTCTTCCTCACTTTGTGCCCCCTCTCTGCAACAATTCTGGTCTCATAACATCCATTAAAGTCAGAGCTATTCCTCAGATGCCAGCATAAACTCTCTCTCCTCTAAGAAATCTTCCAGATATCCTCACAATAAACTTAGAATCATCTTTCCTCAAATTCCCAGGGTATATTTTCACTCTTTGTACCTATTCTGTCTTCACTTAGAGCTCCTTAGGAGTCATCATTCCTTACTAGATTATCAGCTGCTACAGGGAGGAAGAGTTGCATGCTCATATTTGTTACTTTTCCATATACTTTCCCTAGTAACTCCAAATTATTTTGTAGATGGAAGCTGTTCAATAATACTCTGGGAAGCTGTATTGAATGCATAATTTGGATCATGTGATAGAGAAAGCTACAGTGTTACTTATCAGTGCTTACATACATAAAGGGCTTCACTGAAATTAATTTTTATGCAGTAGATAGGAAAATATAAATAAACAGTGGCTACAAGGGCAAGAAAAAAATTCTTAACAGATTGCAGTAGGGAGAGGGTGCATATTCTTTTCCAGATATTTCTCAAAGGTCTGTTCCCATTTTATGAACTGATCATCCTGTGTTTTTTCTATCGTGGTGCATCTTCCTTATGAAATATGAATTCGTGCAGGGTAGCACTTATACAGAGTAACTAAATGAGAAATCTGAAGGTCAGTCTTCTAGAACCAGATTTTCCTCTCCATTATAGTTTAAATTGGGCATTAAACTTAAATTTTTGAACTACCATGTCCTCTCTATAAAATGGGAAAAGGAATGCCTATGCTTTCCATTTGATAGGGTTCTTTTAAAAATCAAGAGATGAATATTCCAAAACAAATCACAGATTTTATTCCAACCATTTTTTTTTAGTTCCTGAATATGTAGTGGGGATCAATCCTCCATAACTATGTACATGTTGTTTTCTGTATATAAAAGTCCATTCTCCTCTTTTATGTGATTAATTCTAATTTTCCTTATAAAATGCAGCACAATGATTATCTTCTCAGGAATACTTCATAGATGCCCATACTTGCTATATGCTCCAACACAGCTCTTCTTGTGCTGAATCATAATCCTTGATTTGATTTTCAATATCCCTCATGATGATGTAAAATCCTAGACTGCAGGAACCTGGATAACCATGAAATCTTTAACACATTGGTGTTCAGTAAATATTTATTGGCTGAATACACTTTGAATGACATCTCAGATCTGATCCAATCTCCTATGAGCTGGGAACAGTGATCTAGTTTTTAAGTTTGTGAAAGTTGTGATCTGGTTTCATAAAATTGACAGTGGTGAACCTTGAATCTGAAATCTGGTAGAGAGCCCAATTCATATATATTTATAAGGGTATCTTGCCTCCAGAAGGTTTTCATTTCTGTATTTTGTTCTATAAACACTTCACAAAATATTTCTCAGGAATAATAGTGGGGAAAAAAAAGAAAAAGAATGAAAAGAAGAAGCATGGGCATAGGGCCTGCTTTGTAAAAAGGCACGCTTCACTTGTTAATTTATTTTTCTTGAATTTCTCCCTAATCCTGTTTCAATATGCTAATCTCCCTTGTTTCTTGATCAAGCCTGCTTTCGAATTGTTTTATATACAATAGCCTCCCACTCTGGAGAGATGACTAAACTTTAATGGCTGTCTAAGGTCCCCCTGCATCCATGTACTTAAAGACACAGAAATATGGGAACAGAATAGGCCATAAAGATAAAATACATTATTAAATGGCATTATTGTCATTGTTATTATTCTCCCATCGAACAAGGAGATGAAGAGCTGAATTGCACACCATATGGTAATTGCTTGGAAGATAACCACAACTTACGGTCACACCTTCAGCATCCAATTGCATTGTTTGCTGCATTTCAGGTGCCAGTGTGGCAGAAGGCCAACCCAGGAAAGATGAACTGGCAGAGAGAGAATGACAGACATTAGGCATAAGTACTTTTCATGTCAAGCCTTTGGCATGTTCATTGTCGAAAAAATCTGTTCTCAGAAATGCCTTCCAAAATACGCAAGTTATGCTATGAAGGCATATGACAACTTCTGCCATCCAGGGATATGTTAATATGGACCATCCTGGGAGATGCCAACTCACAGCCAAGATAATGGGTGATTCCAGATGTCTGTCCAATCCCATTCCTACTGCCCAAGGGAAGTTTGGAAATTTTTAAAAATGAACACTTATATGGAAGTTTTTAGTGTGCAATGACAGACATTCTCTACCAGTGGTCAATTTTGAAAGAGAAAAAGAACAACTTGGACCTTTACTTTTTAGTATATACAACCTTCCATTGTTAGGACCTAATTTAAATCATAGATTTGAATTATCTCCCTTCCCAACAGTAAGAAGATGAACTTTTTCAAAAAGGGAAGAGTCTTACTTTAGATGATTTTAAAAATATCTTAGTCTGAACAGTGTCGTTCGGCTTATTAAATGTTATTTTCACACATTATTTTATTGAGTCTTCCCAAGAACATCATCCCATAAATATCATTTTACCTTTTTTTTTTTCCAGATTAACCATCTTAAGGAAACAGCAAAATGACTTGCCCCAAGTCATTCAACTGGGTTTTACTGGGAGTAAAACCCAAATCTATTTCCCATTTTCAAGTCAAATGATCTTGAGTGATCTGGCTTATGTCGGTGAGCTATCATTTATTATCATTTTCTTCTGGGAATGAATTTGGTAACTCTAATATTGTTAGACTTGGGAAATAACAAATGGTCTGCTCTTTATAAATTATAAAATATATCTATGGGCTCACATCATATTGGCTTGATCGTTAGAAAAATAAATAAGAATGATTATCCCATATTTCAAAAAGTAAAATGAAGTACTCAAAGACATCAAACATGCCCTCCCACAACTATTAACATTAGCTGATCTCTTTGACTTAGTTCATATGCCTGCCCTAAAAGAAATCAGCAAATCAAACTCTCTTCTCTACAATGAGTTAGCCTTTCAAGATGTAATAGGACCTTAAATGTAGAAATACTTTTGGAATTTATTCAGAACAGTAGAAATCTCAATCCAAAAGCACAGCTGAATATTCATGGAGCGTTTTTATTTATCCAAACTTATCCTTGGAAAACACAATTTTGGAACGATAACCATAATATCTTGGGCAGCAAAATTATCTTATATATAAACGTTTGCTTCTGTCATAGCTGTTGTTGTGTTATATGTACACACAAATACACACGTGAATATGCATATATGAGATTAAAAATACTTTTAGAGCTCTAATTGTATGAATCTTTCACTCTTTTCTGGCTATGAAAACTTTCCTAATGAAGAAAGAAAGAATGAAGTGTCTCTGTACTTAAAGGAATTTATTGACTTGCCACTGTGAACTCAGTCTTGGTAAAGGCACTATGGTTTTTAGGGAAAAAAATAAAAGGTGCTTCTTAAGGATGGTGCACTGTAGTAGGGAGAATCAAGGCATACTTATAAGAAATACAACACATGAGTACATGCTGAATAGGGCCCTACAGTTATTTTAATAAATAACAAAGAGTAGTAGTAGATTCATTAGTGACTATGCACACATAGGACTAACTCCTGACAAGTCACTGAGGCCAGACACAAATTGCCCTCCATCTGCCTGGCCTTTGGGGTTGAAGGGGCCATTCAAGAGCTGTTTTCCCAAGTTCACAGAGAAGACCAGGGGAGTACTGCTTCGAGGTCTCTTTAGGCTTTACTCCTTCTTTGAGCTTTGCGCTGGACTCCTACCCAAATTCGTGACACTGAAGCTCTAACCCTCAATGTGTCTGTATTTAGAGATAGGGCCTATAAAGACATAATTAAAATTATATGATGTCCTAAAGGTGAGGCTCCGATACAATAGGATTGTGGCTTGTAAGAAGATGTACCAGACAGCTCCCCCTCTCTGCCACATGAGGAAACACAGTGAGAAGGCCTCTGTCTGCAAACCAGGAAGAGCACTCTCACCAGGATCCAAAACAGCCATCAGCTCATTGTACATTTGCCAACCTCTAAAACTGTGAGAAAATAAATCTTTGCTGTTTAAGCCACCCAGTCCATGGTATTTTGTTACAGCAGCCCAAGCGGACTAAAACAGGCTTCATCACTGAGGGCACCACAAGGGCCTCACTGACTCATCGACTAAGCTCCTGTTTGCTTACTTCACTCCCACCATATCAACCACTTTCATCTTTCTCATATATGTCAGGCAGATTGATATCATTCGCCACTGTGTATGCTGTATGCCCCATAACCAGTACAGGTTACTCCCTCATCTTTTTCAAGCCTTTTTGTAAATGGCGCCTTCTTAGGAAGATTTCACTGACTTCCTAAATTGCAACCCCCTTCACCTCTCCATTTTCTCTGCCTTTTTCCTTTTGTCCGACTTACATACTATATATTTTACTTATTAATTGTGTTTATTTTTTCTCTTTTCTCACTGGCATGAAAGTATCAAGAAGCAAAGATTATCAATCATTTTGTTCATTGTAAAGGCCTCAATATCTGGCACACTACACGTGTCCGATAAATACGAATCACGGTGAATATAATGATATCATAGACCTTGTAAAATCCAGAAGGGATAAGAAAAGGTTAATAAGGGTTAGAAACCAGTGTCAAACGAACAGATGTGTGTTATAGTATTAATAGTATTATAGTATAGTATTAATTCCCTGATTCAACAAGCACATACTTAGACCTGGTACTGGAATTAGTGACCTTTAGAAGTTCACAATCACAAAGGAGAGAGAGGAAAAGGGGATGAGAAAAGGAGTAGAAGAGAGAACAAACAGAAAGTAAGGAAATGAGAATAAGTGTATTATTCCTTCTTCTCAATCACAAATCAATTAAAAGATTGTCCCTTGACACGTTATTATTTTCTTTTTATAATTGTTATAAAGAATATACATTGTATATGAACAGAATGGCAAAGAGAAGAGAAAGGGGGAAAGGATGAAACAATAAAATTATCTTTGGATCACCTATCCAGTTTAGATTTGTTTCTTGATACATATGCAAAACCATAGTTAAAATGATGGTAAATGGTATTGGAGGAAAGGGGGAGGGAAGAGAAAACTATATTGTATAGATTCAGAAACTATCAGAATGGTCAAAATTAATGTAAAAAGATCAAAAGCAAGAAAAATGGAACATCTGGTATACTGTCAATAACTGTGGTCTCCTCCAAATGTATCTCAAGAAATATAACTTCCAGAGCGGAAGTAAGATTATAAAGGAGAAGTGGATGTTCTCAGAATTTCATTTTATTCACTTTGGAAGGAATAAATTAGGATTAGCATAAACATATCTAACACACCATATACTCTCCTTCTCCTTGATATAAATTTGTTGTTATTCTTTTAATCCTTGTCCTTCTGGGAACAGAAAGCTTTATGGAGATATAGCAGAAAGAAAAGCTGCTTAATGGAGCACACTACAGCAAACATTATTGATCAATTTTGTTTTACTTGCAAGAATGATTGAATGTGCAAGTAATTCAGATGTCATTTTGTAGCCTGAACATTTTATTTTCTAGAACGTGTGTTTTCTCTGAGAGAATTTATTTGAGAGAAAATAAAGAACCAGAGATGATGTATTGAACAGGAAAAACATACCATTTGACAAGAAGATTTGTCTAGGTCACCCTCTTGATTTCATGGTACCATTTTGTATTATCAGTGGTGAAATTTTGCCAGCTCAAGGCTAAAGCAAAGATTCTCTTCCAGCATCTCCCATTTTCCCTTCCTTCCTAAACTCTTTATTCTATTCCACCAAACCACTTCTTTCCGTCTCCTGGTGCTTTGAACTTCTCCCTCAAAACTTGCTGTAATATAAAAATCTGAAAAAAAAAGATCTGATAAACTCATTTGTATTAGGTTGTAAATAATTGATAAGCTTTACTTAAAGTGTGGACACTCTGATGACACCTTATCCATCTGCAAATACACATGCAACCATCCCCAAACATCTATGTATTGTAAGAGAGGAAGATAAAGAAAGTCAGAGTAATGTTCCAGTAATAAGCCAAATTGTGCAGAGAGAAGTATGCCTTTCCCTCTGCACATGTCAGGTTAGTGGAGACTGACTTCCTGCTGCTGCTGAAAGGAAATTATGCAAGAATGCCCTAACCCATCTAAGAATATAACCAACCTGTCTCTTTTCTTCAAGCTTTTAAAATTCCAAAATACTTTATCTTTGTGCACAATATGGAGACAATTGTTTGAAAACAAAAAAGAAAAAATTAACATCGAAATCATGTCTGACTTTAGATTGAGGCCAAACAGGTAATCACTAGGAATATGGCTTAAAGGAAACTCACTCAAAAACATCTTCCCTGCTTACCAAATTATCTGCTATCATCCCATTAGAAATTGTTCCCTTCAGGTTACAGAATGGTTTCTAGTTAAACTGAAAAACTTCCCTGAAATATGAAATACAGGAAGTCCAATCAATGATTAGTACTTTATGTGATTGGGGTTCAGTCCCTCTTCCAATACAACTAGCTAATATCGACTTCCTCAAAAAAAGAAATCCACAGATGAAATGTGCCTGGAAGGGTGATGGTAATGAGAGGTCTAAAACAAGTGGTGTCCTGGGTTCAGCTTTACAATCCTGAGTATTTAAGGAAAAGTGTTGGAACTCCAGGAAGAAGTGTCACTGGGACAAAAGATTCTAATAGAAAGCAAGTGAAAATGTTTGCTGACACTCTGATAGTGTCTGAACAATGATTGTCATGATTAAGGCATGATCCTTGTCATCAAAGATTGTTTCCATAAAAAACGGCCAAGTTCTTTGATACTTATATGGACTGGTTACCATGAAAGCCCTGAACTCATTATAGGTCAGGAGATCTGGGTTCAGTTATTGGCTCTCCTTTACTAATTGTGAATCCTTGAACAAACCACGAATTTGTAACT